TTAAGTAACTTGTGCATTGTTTTACTTACTTGTTTTTGACATATCCGACCGAACTACAAGCTTTCCAGTGATGTCTGTGAGAGAGATATATTCACTCGACAAGCTCGCGCATCCGCGCGCTCAATCCACTCAGCGTGCTTTGTTTATCAGCTCGCGCACATCAGCTATACAGGCGTTAATACTGAATATTTAACGTTATATTCATTGCATACTTCGTAGTAGACATCCTTAACTCCATTCTGCTGTCTGTTGTTCTGTTGTCGGTGTTTCTTTGTTTGAATATGGCGCTTATCACATGCTGTGTGGTATCGGCGTTTGGTATCGGGGCATTTTAACGAGTACGAGTACGAGTACAGGAGACCAGTATCGGGCCCGATACCGATACGGTATCGGTGCATCCCTAATAATAATGATACAAATTCTACTAATAAGAACAATATAAAACGCACTAAGGATTAATGAGCTGCTGGATTCATGAATATTAATCAGGTTGTGTGCGTTCGCTCGAACTGATTTGCTGTAATCAAAACAGGGACGATAATTGGTGAGTGCCAGCCAATTAGACTGCCGTTTGCACATTAGTTCCGCCCACTACCGGAGAAAGCGGCAGTTCTTAAAAGCTGAAAAATTCCAAAGGAACGCTGTTATTTCGACAGGAAAATAAAACAAAGAATATCATTTACATGTAGTGCGTCAATTCTCTCTCTCTCTCTCTCTCTCTGCGTGTGTGTGAGACAAAGCGACGGTGAGTTGTTTGCCTTCACACTAGAGTTTACGGTATGTCAAACACAGGTGCGCTGCACATCCATTAAGATGAACTGAAAAATATCACAGATCGGTTGATGGAGAGTGAAACTCTGAAGCACTCAGTCAGTGTTCGGCGAGTGAAAATATATCTGTGCTAAAGTGAAGTGAAGTGACATGTGGCCAAGTATGGTGACCCATACTTGGAATTAGTGCTCTGCATTTATCCCATCCAAAGTGCACACACACAGCAGTGAACACACACACACCATGAACGCACACCCGGAGCAGTGGGCAGCCATTTATTGCTGCGGCACCCGGGGAGCAGTTGGGGGTTCGGCGCCTTGCTCAAGGGCACC